AGCCGTCAGGTCCACGTCAGAGCGCCGAGAGCTGCTGCGGGCGGAGCACACTATAGGACTCTAGAGCACACGACCATGGAGGCCGCGACCACGGTGGCTGCGGCCACGACGGCCACCGTCACGAGCGCGCTCACCGAGGCCATGGCGACGATGATGACGGCGACGACGTCCTGGACGGAGGTGCCGGCGAGCACGGCCGCGCCCGCCGCCCTGCACGTCATGGGCTGGGTGGACCTGGCCGTCCTCGCCTGCATGCTGGCCGTGTCCACGGCCATCGGCGTGTACTTCGCGTACTTCGTGAAGGGCGCCAACGAGTCCGAGGCGGACTACCTGGTGGGCGGGCGCACCATGAGCATGGTGCCCGTCGCGCTGTCGCTCTTCGCCAGGTGAGGCACGAGAGGAGAGCGTGCTCCTCGTCGTGGCCACGGCGTGGAGCTCCCCCACCCAACTGAGAAATTTTTGCGACGATATCGTTTCGACATCTGTTTTTACGTCGTTAGTGATACAAAAATGGGCCTGGAATCGACCTCTTTTCAACAGTCGATGTCGACTGTCGAAAAGTCGTCGATGTCAGGCCCATTTTTGTATCGCTAACTACGTGAAAACCGATGTCGAAACGATATCGTCGCATTGATTTCTCACTGGGAAGGTGGGATTTCCTGGAGGTGCGCGCGCCGGTGGGTAGGCAGTCCACTGCGCAGGAGCGCTTGGCGGGCCAGTCTGTTGGTCCGCGCGAGGCGCTCGCCATCCCCAGCCCTCTCTCGTGGGTAGGGGCGGAGGGCGGCGGCGAGAGGCAGAGAGGTGCTCGAGAAGTACCACTGTGTGCGAACGGGACTCTAACTGACGACAAAGAATCGACGTGTGAATTTCTATTACAGCGCGACATTCTAAGAATATTTTTGAAGAAATCTTCTACTAGTCAGATAAAAGTGTTCCTCGTAGCGAGTCATCCACTAAGTCGTGGGCCTCTCTTTGGTCGACAACACTCAGTCTCAGTCCGCCGCCAGGTGTCACCAGTGTGGCCTCTGTGTTCTAGGGCTGCGGCCGCCAAAGCCTCAAGCCCACACGCCGGACTGACTTGCCCACTGCGCCAAAGACACCCCAATTCCAGTATTGTGTAGGTTGAGGTCTTCTAGTAAATAATTGCGTTCTTCTTTTACATTTGACTACTATTTTTTTCAATGTTAAACTCAAGTCAAATAAAAACTATCATACCTACTATTTTGCTAGCATGTTTCTGTTTATCCTGTTTATCCGGGTGATGCGTCGGGTCGCGAGCCTGCCCGGCGGGGGCTCGGCCCGAGAGGCCATCGCCATCGCCGACCTCCCTCCCGGCGCAGGCTCCGGCCCGGGGCCGTGAACCTTCCACGCTCAGTAGGTCGCGGGTCGCGGCCCTACGTGTGCCCTGGGTGGCGAGCCCAAGCCGGTGTTGTCGTGCATCCCCATCATCGTGGAGCCTGGTGAAGGGCTGGCCACTAGAATTTACGTTTTGAGGCGCGGGGAGTGCTTGTTAATTTACAATTTCAAACTGTAATTTTACGGCACATCATGAAAGTGTTCTCCGTTAACTTACGACTATTTTTTTCTGTCGGATTTATTGTTTTATCCATTCTTCTATTTATTTGAAGTCGTTGTGCACTTGCACGATCGATACCTCGCCTCGCGCGTTCTTCATTTGCAAATTTTCAGTTCGCTCCGTCCGTGTTTTTGTTGGTGGTGTTGTTGGGCACCACCTCGGTGGTGCTGTGGTTGATGGCCGCGGTGCTGGTGCTGCTGGTGCTGGCCCGGGTGCCGGCCAGCTGCACGCACTCGCAGACGCACTTGGTGAGGTCCAGGAGGCACGCGTCCTCGCACTCCTGCCGGTCCCCGCAGCGCCCGTGACACGCCTCGCGCTCCTCCTCGCACCGCCTGTCCTGGGTAGGGCTGTGCGATATTCGGGAATACCGAAACGATATCGGTATTTTTTTTATACCGATGCTTCGGTATTTTAAATTTCTGCAATTCGGGAACGATATTTCGATATTATCGAAATATCGAAAAATACCGATGGTTTGTGAATTTCGGTATTTCGGTATTTTGGTATTTCGATATTTCCATAATACGAAGAATTTGGTACTCCGGCGGCCTGTTGGCGTCAAGAAGGGCTGCACGACGGGGCTTTGTGCACATCTGAGGGTCCACCACATTTTCGAGTACCAGGCCCTGAAGTTAACTGTTCAAGAAGACGCGGGGATGATGTCGACGTGCAGGGAGAGAAAGACGACCTCACTTCGGCGATAACGTCGGTCGCGTCGACGGCGTCTTTCTCTAGCTCAGTGAGGTAGTTTCAAAGTGCCCAAATTGTTTCACTTCCTCGTCAGCTTCTCTGTTGTCGAAATTTCGATACTTCGATATTCCGTTATTTCGGTATTTCGATATTTTCGGTACGGTATCGATACCCGATACCGACAAGTTTCGGTATTTTTTTAGTATCGAAGTTCGGTACTGAAATTTCAATACCGCACAGCCCTAGTCCTGGGTGCACGCCAGCCACGGGCCGTAGTCCATGCCGCCCCGCGGGTACCCGGCGCAGCCGCAGCCGCAGTTGTGCACGCACATCTGCAGGCACTTGTAGTCGTCCGGGCCCTCCTCCGGGGGGCAGCCGCAGGTCGCAGCGCTGCACTGCAACACGGGGCGGGGCGGGTCAGTCAGCGGGAGGAGGGTGTCGGCAAGAGGAACTCACTCAAAAACAAAATCAGTGTGAACCTTTCAAAAAAGGGTTTTAAAAAACGGAAAAAATAAGGGGAAAAAACAACAAATTTCTTAAACAAGTCAGAAAATAAATCAGAGAAAAGTCAGAAAAAATCAAGAAAGAAATGAAAAATAGGATTACGCTTGAACTATAGTGCACTCTCATCCTGTGACTGATTTATTTGACCCCTTTGACCCCTTTGTTTAAAAACCATTATGAACTACAGAAGATTTTCATCAGTAATACTAAATAATTCCTTTTTGCTCAACTGATTTTTTTTTTCGTTTATCAGTAAGTTACTAATAATATAACTTTACATATAATAAGTAACAAATTAGTCAGTAATTCCTGCCTCATAAAAACGTAGGTATTTACTAAGAAATAAATCACTGCAGGTCTGAGAGTGTGAGGTATCTCTCGGGTGTCGGCCTGCCGCAGGGCGCAGAGACTCACGTGGCGTTCCTCCTCGTCGCATCGTCGGAGCCTCCGCAGCTCCTCGGTGGCCGAGCGCCGCTGCCGGAGGTGGGCGCGCCCGCCGGTCAGCGGGCTGGCGTTGTCGTCGACGAAGTGGCCCAGGGCGGCCACCACTGCGAGCGGCAGCAGCACCAGCAGCGCGGTGGTCAGCATCATGCGCTGCCCCATCATGAGAAGGCGGTGTCGGAAGGTGTTGTCGGTCTGCGGGGCAGCTCAACTGAACTGACTGACTACCCGCTGCTGTCTCGCCGGCGCCTTTATAGTCGCCGTACGGGTCATGGTCGTGATAACGCAGGTCTCGATAGACCTATAGGAAGTCACAACAGCAAGGGGGGGG